ACGAATCATAGGCCTAATCGATATGTATATTTATATTCATCCGAGTGGTTTTGCCGTCATTCTCTTTTCCAACTTTTCTATTGTTTAGAACTGACGAACAAACTACTTGATCCAGAATGCGCACCATAATCAATATTCAAGGCTTCTGCCAATCGTGCCCCTATTATTAACCCATTGGCGTCGACTTACGAGTGTTACTCGTACGGCTGCTGCAGGCTCGGTGGCTGACTTACGAGTGCCGCTCGTGTCACCGCTACGCAGCGCCACTAGTTATTTAATTATTACTAGATGACCCGTGCTGCTCCGCAGCATTGAAATTAATAATAAAGAAATAAAATTCTAAACTTAATAAGGGCGGTATAACTTTAATTAAACTCTTATAGGGCTGCTGGATTAATTTCGCCTTATGACCAAATTAAAGTACAGTATAACACATTCCATATAACACAGAGAAAATCGTCCCGATGTATTTTTTTCCGTTTTGAAAATCAATTAATCCAGAACAATATCCACACACTTCCTAAAAGCACCTACAGAGAAAGCACGTACATTTGTTAACTCATATGTAACACAGCGTGAATGAGGCTTTATTAAGAATGTTTTATTAACAACAATATTTCTTGTAAAATAGACATCTCTGTCGGTAGAATTGCATGTACGCATATTCTCAGGAGTAGTTCCCTCCATCTGGTAATCTTTATTAATATTACGACTTTTGTAATACTTCCTTCCAAACAATGTTTGCTGTTCGTCCATCTTTTGATTTAGTTTCTACTTTTACAGTATCGAAAGATTTCCCTCTCGATAAGGCGACGTACAACTGACCGTGACTAAATACTGGTTCAGGCAAGTACACACCAACTCGATCAATCGTTTGGCCCTGCGCCTTGTTGATGGTCATGCAGAACGCAACCTTTATGGGGAATTGTCTTCGTTTGAAAGAAAATGGTACTGTAGAATCTGATGGAGAGAGATCAATGCGGGGTAATAGTGCACGTTGTCCAATATTTGTGCCAGTTATGATTTCTAAGTCTAAACTGTTTTCATACATTTTCTTGACAATAAGTCTTGTTCCGTTTAGAAGACCTGCTGTGTAGTTTAAATTTCTTAATAACATCACAATGGCACCTTCCTTTAAGACTAATTTGTGAGAAAGCAAACCAGTCATCTCAAGGCTGTTGAGGAATTCAATAGGGAATTGCAATAGTTCACTGTCATCATCTGTAATTAGTTTATTCACACTTATATATGTTTTGCTTGAGCCTGGGATGAGGTTTAAAACTCTTTTATTGATTTCCTCACAATGCTCATTCTTTGGTGCTAAAATGGCACATTTTGATAAGTACGATGAGTCCATAGGCGTTTGTAGGTTTTTTCCATAAATTTCTGAAACTATGTCTGAATCAGAGATAAGTGGTGGGGGTAGTCCACAGATTTGTCATCAATTGTTGGGTATTCCCCATTGCCAATTTCGAGCAAAAAGTTAGCAAAATATAACTCATTAGTTTTAGCCCTCATATTTTTGTTAATTTAAAAATTTTTAATAGTGGCCATAGGTATGAAAACTTAATTGAATTCTGAACAGTAGAGGCTCTAGATGAATGAGGCACAACCGGCAACACTTGCCGGAAATCTCCACCTAAAATGATTTTCCCACCAAATGGCACATCGTTATCCATTATATCTTTCAGTAGCCGGTTGACACACATTAGAGCATATTTGTTGGCCATAGGTGCTTCATCCCAAATTATTAATTTTGCAAAACGAATGATAGAAGCCTCTTTACTGTTGACTTTTAAGCCGGAGACTTTTTTGAAGGAATCACAAATTTTGTCTAAGATAAGATATTGGAAAATGTTTTGAAACTAAAGTTCAAAGTCAGCTCAACTCAACATACCCTCCGCCCGAATAAAAGTATAGCCCGATATTATACCGATAGCCCAAATAAGAGTAGATTATTTAGACAAAAACAAAACAAAAAACTAAACGAAACGAAAAAACGAAAGTTGATATCTATACTCAATTCTAATTACGTTATCCTATTTATTTTCATATAAGAACCTTCGGTAAAATTCCGGCATCATTTGTGTAATTAATTATGATTATTAAGATTGGCATAGTGCTGAATCACAAACAAACCAAATGGTTCCAAAATAGAATTACCTCAACAGTACCTGTTGATTTCGACGGGTTTAACCTTGTATTTTTTATTTTTTTTTTGTATTTTGTATATTGTATCTTAAACCGATGCTTGTTGTGAAATCTGGACATGCATAACTTCAATTTGAAAATTCAACCATGAAAATTGGTCGAGTAGAAGAGCCAAACGAACTGGGAAATGAAAAACTAAATTTAACTACCAATAGAGCAAATTTATTTTACGTATAATCCGGGTTTGGACTGTAGCTACATATATTCCAATGCTTGATGGGACATCTGTGCGTACATACCCTCAATTTGAGACCTCAATCTTGAAAATCGGTCGGTTAGAAGAGCCAAACGAACTCGGAAAAGAGAAACAAAATTTAACTTCTATAAGAAATACATGGAGAGGAATTTTTTTTACGTATAAACCAAGTGGGGTTATAGATAAGTATTTGCCGATGCTTGATGGAATATCTGTGCGTGCATACCTTCAATTCGAGACCTCAATCATGAAAATCGGTCGGGTAGATGAGCCAAACGAACTCGGCAAAGAGAAACTAAATTTAACTCCCATAAGAAATACATGGGGAGCAAATTTCGTTTACGTAGAAATCGCGTGGAATTATAGATACATTGATGCAGATGCTTGATGGCAAATTTGTACGTGCATACCTTCAATTCGAGACCTCAATCATGAAAATCGGTCGGGTAGAAGAGCCAAACGAACTCGGCAAAGAAACCCCAAATTTAACTCCCATAAGAATAACATGGGGAGCAAATTTATTTTACTTATAAGCCGAGTAGGATTATAGATAAATATATCCCGATGCTTGATGGCAAATCTGTGCGTGCATACCTTCAATTTGAGACCTCAATCATGAAAATCGGTCGGGTAGAAGAGCCAATCGAACTCGGCAAAGATAAACCAAATTTAACACCCATAAGAATAACATGGGGAGCAAATTTCTTTTACGTATAAGCCGAGTAGGATTATAGATAACTATATTCCGATGCTTGATGGCAAATCTGTGCGTGCATACCTTCAATTTGAGACCTCAATCATGAAAATCGGTCGGGTAGAAGAGCCAATCGAACTCGGCAAAGATAAACCAAATTTAACTCCCATAAGAATAACATGGGGAGCAAATTTTTTTTACGTATAAGCCGAGTAGGATTATAGATAAATATATGCCGATGCTTGATGGCAAATCTGAGCGTGCATACCTTCAATTTGAGACCTCAATCAAGAAAATCGGTTGGGTAGAAGAGCCAAACGAACTCGGAAAAGAAAAACCAAATTTTTTTAATATATAAGATTATTTTCCCCCCTTTTTGTTTCTTCTTACTTTTATAATGTTTAAAAATATTTTGCTTCTTGATTTGCGTATTTACTCATTTATTTTAGCGAATAACAAACAATTTTGTGTTGCCATGGAAACCAGATATCACCAAAAATCAGCTGCGGTAAGGTAAACAAATATTTTTCTACGTTATCCTACTAATATTATAAATGAGAAAGTTTGGATGTATGTTTGTGACAAGTGAACGCATTAACCACTGGACGGATTTTGCTGAAATTTGGCATGATGATAGCTCACATTCCCGATTAACATAGGTATAGGCATATTCTTATCTCAAAAATCCTTTCGGGCTCCGCCCCAGTGGCTCTATAGTTCCCCATGTTAACCTTATGAGCATTCATATTAAAAGGGAATTAAATAATTTAGTCAGCTGTTTCAACTAAAAAGTTGATTCTATGATATGCAAAAGCATTAAAAACTTACAAGGATTACCAACAGGGTGCAGCATTATTATTTTTTTTTAATCTATGATAACAGCTAATTTGCAACCAAAAGGTGAGTGAGCGTAGCGAACGAACTTCATCCTGGAGGCGAGTTAGCGTAGCGAACGAGCTAACCTGAAGGCAAGTGAGCGCAGCGAATGAGCTCCAACCTAAAGGTGAGTGAGGGTAGCGAACGAACTTCAACCAGGACGTGATTGAGCCATGCGAACGACCTCACTTATGAAGTAAAACGGGGCAAAGCCCGCGGGTACAGCTAGTTACTTATAAAAGTACACAACTTTTGATTTTTCTACGTAGGGAATCAATTGAACTTTATAATAGTGGTGTTATTTGGTGTCTAGATTAATCCTGAAATTTGTAAATCAAGTTTACTTTCAAAAAATTGTTTTTAACATTTTTATTTTTTATAGCCTAATCTTTACAGTTTTTGCTTTTTTAGTTTTATACTTTGACTATCCAATTAAGTTACCACTTTTCTGTAGTTAGTTTTACTGCAAACAAAATGGTGAAAGAATTGTTAATTTATTACCTAAGGTTTTCTTTCTATAACAATTAGAGTAAAAGTCTACAAATTCGGTAAAATTAATTGCCGACAGAGGGTGCTGCAGGCAGCGCATTAATTTCTTCCCCAATGGGTTAAGTTATCCCTTCATCAAATGTTTCCAATCACAGGTTTTTTGTGGAACTGTACCCACAGCCTGAACACCGTAATTTTGAAGTTTAGAAAACCTGTAAAAAGTAACACTTGACTATCAACAGTAACTTAATATCGTCCAACAAAATAATATCGCTAACGAGTAGCCTCCTCACGCCACCTTTTCAACTAAGAAATTGCAGTTGTTGCTTGTAAGATAAGTTTATTATGAGTTAGTGAGCACTACAATTCTGCCACTCAGAGGGTTTACGCTCAAATTGTGTAAAGAGCCATAGGCTATCTAACTTTTGTTTAACAAGCTTTCAAATTTCTAACACCACATATACTAAACTACATATACTACTGGTAAATGGTAAATACTACACCTAACCTAAATGAGATCCTATGGGTACTTACTATTTTGAGCTAGACTTTTAAACGTATGAGTTGTTAATAAACCAATACGGGTGAACTTTTTCATTTTTGTAAGCACGCTTGACTAAAATAAGTTTAAGAACATACAAAAAGTACTGAACAATTTTTAACTGTTATCCTAACCCTATTAATTTTTTTAGGGTAAAATTATGTTTGTATTGAGAGTGCCTTTTACGGTGGATTGGTTTAAATTTACGGTTCGGTATGAAATAATAAGGAAGTGTGATTTTAATTACTAAAACTACTAGGCAACTTGAATTATTAAAACAGGATATTGTATTGATATTATCTTGTAGAGTAAAAACACAATCACAGACAGAACAACGAACAACAGAAGAGAAGAGAGAAGAAGAAGAACAGAGAACGAGAGAACAGTGAACAGACTGAAGCGTAAAGCAGAAGAAGAAGATTTAAAGAAAAAGAACTAAAGAAAAAGAACCTACTGATTTTGTCTACAAAAAGGTGTAGATTTTTGTGAAAGCACTATGATCATAATGTTGTTAAGACCATGGGGTCCCAGATTATCGACTTCCCAAAAGATCGACACTGAAATAGTCCCATATTGTCGACAACTCAAAATATCGACAGTGGCGGTAATATGGGATGTCTGTAAAATGGGATGTCGGTTAATTGGGATGTCGACAATAGATAGATAGATAGATTTATTTGATCACTAAACATTATACATAAAATGCAATAGATCATATCAATAAATAGTAAACAAGGTAATCAGAGAGATACATACAATCAAGCCACATCAATTAAGGTTTACATGCACAATAAATAAGTACCTATAAGATAAATTATAAATCATACAGACAGGCTTACTAAATAATATATGCACTAGTTGAGCGGAGCGAAGCGAAGCGAGCGAAGCTCTTATACTACACTCCTGCTTTTGTTTTACAAATACTCCTCTGAACGGCTGAAGCGATCTGCACCAAATTTAGCACAATCATAGGAACCGGCCATGGGAAGGTATAAATCTGAAATGGTAGAAATCGGACCACAGGGCTTTTCTCTACGTGAATTCAAACTTTTGGAAATTTAACATGGGCCTTATGGGTTAATTGGTTGCCATTTGCGAGAAAACAATAAAAAGGTAAACAAGAGTCGCAACATATGTTAGTCAACGAATCATCTAAATAGCATATTACAAATACCGTACAGAGAAAAAGGGAAGAACAATCGGATTAATATCATTGAGTATAATTTACTACAAAATGAAATACCAATAATTATGGTCGGCGGAATAAGGCCGATGCACCATTGATTTTAAATAATCCAAATAGCCATTCCATTTATGTGAACCAAATCTAGGCCTACATACAATTGAGTTTGGATACTGCAAGTAGACAATTCATTTACATGAACCAAATGCACCATTGAGTTTGGATACTCCAAGTAAACAATTCGTTTACGTGAACCCGACGTATCATTGACTTTGGAGACCTCAAGTAAACAATTCGTATAATTAACTTGGAATACTGCAAATAGACATTCCATTTATGTAAACCGTCAATGGCGTACCATTGACTTTGGATAATGCAAATAGGCATTTTATTTATCCGAACCAAATGTATAATTGGCATTGGAAACTGTAATTAGACATTTAATATATGAGAACCAGATGAAACATAAACTTTGGTTCCTGCAAGTAGACAATTCATTTGCGTGAACCAGACTTATAATTGACTTAGAATACTGCAAATAGACATTCCATTTTAGTGAACCAAATATACCGTTGACATTGGATCTGCAAGTATTTAATCTCATTTGCGAGGAACACATGTAAAATTGATTTTAGAAAAGTATTGGATTAATATGCTAGCTCCGCTCAATATTGCAAGCATACAATTGCATTGCACACCTAGTAATTAAGTATGGAATAAGTTAAATCACAGTAGGCGACATACTTGAATAAATAATACAGGCAAGCAGTTAGCAATGAAAGTTTTACAAGTTGGAAATTTACACAAGATAAAATCACAGATATCAAAAAAATCAATGTGGTTAAAAAACTAGGCTAATATCACAGGCAAAGGATTCTTCAATACTGTAGAAGGGTGTGACTGAAAGCCACCTGTGAAGTAATTTTTTGAAATGGTCAAAATCAGCCACATGGGCTTCAAAAGGCAGCCTGTTAAACAATTTTACACCAACTTGTTCAAAAGAATTGAACACCTTGCTCAGCCTGGTGTAGGAGTAGGGTCTAGCTATATTGAATTACAATTTTTTGTGTTATAGCTATGTAAGTTTCTATTAAGAGTTAAACTGTTAAGATTTTTCTTTGTGTGAAGCATGCAGTGAAGGATGTAGAGATTTACAACAGTTAAAATCTTTTCTTGTATAAAAAGTGGTTTGCAGTGATCTTTATAATCAGAATCGGTCATTATTCCAATACATTTCTTTTGGGCGAGAAGTACATCGATCGATCACAGAAGGGCTATATCCCCAGAGCAAGAGACCATAGGAAAAGGCACTTTGAAATAGACTAAAGTAGACAGTTTTAACATAGTCAGAGGATACATATTTCTTCAAGTGTTTCAATAAATAATTAATTCGACTTAGTTTTCTTACATACAAACTCTACATGCACATTCCAGGATAATTTAGGGTATATAAGTGAATACCACGCAACTTAACACTATGACTAGAATCTACTTAAGCTAGGGTTCAAGGAAAAGATCATGCTTTCAGTTTTCTCTACATTCATAAACAAAAGATTTGACTTACTCATTGGCTTCACTTATGATGCTACTGAATTCATCCCTAATTGTGGCAACAGAGGGACTTGTCTTAAAAAAGGTTACGTCATCTGCAAAAAGGATAGAACTAGCATTAACATTCATATCTAGGTAATTTATTAAGACTAGAAAAAGGAAAGGGCCTAGTACCGACCCCTGTGGTACCCCATATTTTACCTCAGTTTGTTCCGAGAAGAATTGATTGGAAAAACCCTTTTGGTTCCGATTACTGAGGTATGATCTAAAAAGACAGTTTTGAATCAATTATTCCGTAAGATCCATTTTTTTTCTTCAAAAGAATGCCATGATCCACACAGTCAAAGGCTTTAGTTAGGTCGTAAAGAATTGCGCCTGTAGGCTGGCCAAGTTCAAAGTTTGTTAATATAGATGAGATTAGCTCTCCGACTGCATCAATAGGGGACATTCCTGATCTAAAGCCAATCTGATTCTTAGAAAAAAGGCTAAAAACTTGAAAAAAATTACAGACCTGAGTTTTAATACGGTAATCGATTCATAAACCTTGCCGAAAGTCGGGACCAGAGAGATGGGCCTATATAGTTACTGACAGAATCACGACACCCTCTTTTGTAAATAGGTATAACCTTTGAAACTTTGAGCTTTGAGGAAAAAAACCTTCAGATAAACAGACTGGGACGGGTGGCGTCGTCCTGTAATCCGGCTACTAGGAGGTCACGAATTGTGGATATTTATAGGAATGCACTGTAGATGCGATACTCGATACTCCCTGTTGTGGATTAACGTCCGCACGGGTGAGTGCTACGACTATCCGCAGTGTACTATTCTGATAATTAGACCAATTCGTATATACCAAGGAAAAAATGTGGTTCGGATTCCACTATAAACTATAGGTCCCTTAGTCGCCATTAGCTGTATGGGCTATTAATTAACAGCTGTGTCTAAGGAATATGTCGGCCTTAGTCACTAACAAGACTACAAGATCGCGCCACTCATCATACACTCATCTCCATTCATAATTGGCTTAAAATACCTACTTTGTATGGTCGCCATTTGAAATAAAAGTATAAGTACATTAATGCACATGCTTAAAGGAATTGATATCACACTGATGACCTGCTTCAATAAATAATTAGAAATATCATAAATATCGGCACTTTTTGAGCACTTAAACTTGGATACAACTTTGCAGACATCACCTGGATTCACAAGCTGCCATTTGAGGTTTGTGGGGGGTGCTCTATGTTGGGTCCTGAGGGCTGGCGTAGGAGAGGCGCTAGCAGGGATGCTGCTCCGGACATCTTCAACAATAGTGTTCAAGTAGCTGCTGAAGTTAGACGCTGCAGGACAAGTGTTCATAGTTGAGCTGAGACCGGACTCCTTTTTTATTATCTGCCAAGCAGCTTTCGCTTTGTTCTGGGCAGAGTTTATTTTATTTTCATAAGAATTTATTTTGGCTAGTTGTAAGGCATGTTTGTATTCTTTCTTGGCATAGGTAAAGATCTTAAATGACTATTTTTGTACTTAGTAAACAGATACATGACAAGACATTTCAGGTTGTTGAGATCAGGAGAGTATCAATATGCAACAGCTGTGTAAGTTTTCCCATTTTATCGATACTGCAATGTCGACAAATACCCCCGCCGCAGCAAACCTGCAGACTAAGCGAATTTCCATTTGACTGATTGGATTTACACTGAAATGTCTCCTTAAAAATATAACATTTATTCCCTATTTAAATAGAATTAGTTTAACAAGTACTTAGGTTTGCTGCATCAGGGAGGGTAATCTTCCCAGAGTGGATGTGCTGTCCATGCACACCCACTACTAGATTAGGGGTTGTGGCTTCAAGTGGTTGATCGGGCGAATTTACCGTTTGTTATTGGTTTTATCTAATTGATATATAGGCTGATTACTGATTTATAGATTGACTGATAAGATACGGTATGGTACTAAACCTACCCAAAAGATGCTAGATTGATTGTTTTTTTCTGTTAAAACTACCAAAAAGACGATGAGTTTCCCTTTATTCCTAACATGCCTACTGAAATAATGTACCGTATAGTATTATTATCTCAAGTATATAAAAATAACTCTAGTTTAACCTAGGGCCATGTTTAAAATCAGTCTCTTATACCTTTGTCTACCATAAAGAAGGTTTTGCTACAAAAAGTAATTTGTCTTAATAGTGATTGATTGTCTGATTGATGATTGAAATAACAGGATTTCTGTGAGTATACTTTGAGTTTATCTCGATTTTAGATTTGAATGATGGTAATAGAAAGAAATAAATACATTTTTTATTTTGTCGACAGTTGTTTAAGCAAAATATGCTATCACAGTTAAGAATAATGAAAAGAATGGTTATACAAATATACAATTTTATTATATACAATTCTTTTTAACAATAACAAGAATTCTTTTTTAAAATTCAACCATCTATACAAAGTTAGGTATGAAATTCTGGTTCACAATATTTCAAATCATTTTTATACTTCCAAAATTTACTGTTCAATAGTGAACAACAACAACATATTTGATAAAAATCATTAAAGTTGTCTCTACAAAGCTTCACACAACTTGAATTCTTCTTGCATGAGTCACATGTTTTTATTGTTCTTCTTATTCCACAATCAATCCATTTGGGTAGATTTGATGTTGAGTCGAATTTAGAGTCTTCCATTTCATTTAAAATCTTATATGTAACCTGAACATTTCCTGTTAATTTGTCTTTATTTTCAGATAGTATCTCCATAATACATTTGACTAATTTACTTCTATTGGATATTATACATTTTCCATTTATTATGTCATGTATTTTTTGATTAATGGATGGAATTTTATTCTTAAATCTTTGAATCATAGGTTTAATTTCTTCTTTAGTATGTACACTCAATGTTCCGAATCCAAAATTCATTATTAGATAATCTCTAATGAGAAATTTTAAAAAATCTTCATAAGATAACATGTTAGGATATAGAATATAACAAATGAATTCTCACCTGTAACACTGTTATGAAGTCACTAAGTATAAAGATCATCCATCAGATTATATAGTAAGGAGAATTCAAACAGTTTGTAAACCAAAGTGTTGGTCCCAATGTCATACGTGACTAGATATGAACATAATGTTATCAAGGCTAATGTTAACTAAACCTTTTTTTCTTCTTAAACAAACATCTTTTGGCATATTCAATATTTTATAGTTTTAATTATTACTTTAAATTCATACAAAATAAGTTGGGAGAATAATCTCCTCAATTTAATTGCATATTTAGGGCTCAAAAATCCATTTGAAAAAATTTTCCTCTTTCAAGGAGATTACTGTTAACTTTTGCCATTTCTCATACAATGATGCAGTATATAGTGAATTATTATTATATTTCTTGGCGATTTATATATTTTAGTGACTCAACTGACCATTTTTAATAAATTTGACCTTTTTACTTTTGAAATACAGTCAATTGTAAATTTATAGTACAGGAAGTAGACGAGGTAAAAGGTAGTTTATGTCGATTGAAACAGGAGATTAAACACTAATAAATGACTTTGTTCAAACTTTATTCATTTTGTAAAAGTAATATATTGTCTTAGAGCCTTAGTACAGTGTTTTTAATCTTAGAATGATGGGTACATGCCTATGATGGACCCAATATTTTGTAAATTTCAATCTTTTGACACTATACTATAAAAAGCTTTTCTTTCATCATAGTTTCTTCAAAAACTATTTGATTGTTGTAGAATAGTAATTTAAACTCATAAAGTACTTACTTAAGTCCAATTAGTACCACAAATAACCAATCAATTACATGCAATAACAGTCCTGTACTAGCTGATGCCAGATAACAGAGAAAACTCTTGAATCATGAAAGAGCTCTAGGGCAACAGTTATCACTAATCAGTTAATCAATCAATTGATGAAACCAATAATAAACCAATCAGATAATCAATCGATAAAACCAATAATAAACGGTAAATTCGCACGATCAACCACCTAAGGCCACAACCCCTAATCTAGTAGTGGGTGTGCATGGACAGCACATCCACTCTGGGAACTATTGCTCGTTCGAATAAACGTAGGTTTACACGTTTGTACCAAATTTAATCAAAATCGGATCATTTTTGCTCGAGTTATCGTGCTAACAGACACACACATACATATATATATATATATAAATATATAAATATATATAAATATATATATATATATATATATATATGAATTTGAACGGATGGTGTTTTTGGCCTCTAGGGACCTCAAAACGAAAAAAAAATCGGTCCCGCGTCCAGGTCTTACCATGAGTACTACGGTAATAGCTTATTCCCTATATGGGAAATTCGCTAATAAAACGGATCGACAAAGAGCGGGGGATTCAGATTGAAGGTGAACAGTTCTTGCTGAAAAGCTCGGTTGAGTGGTTGAGTCCGGATGCATATATAATGAGAGTCGTTATTTTTTTAAACTTCGAGCGACTTCTTTTCACGGCGATTGCAGTCACCTTCAAATTTGTCTGTTATCACAACTATCTTTTGTATATAAATTGTATTCTGCCATTTGAAGGCTTTACAATAATTTGACATTATTATTATGATTCATTATACTGTTTTTTTTTCGTGTAAGAAGGTAGTTAAAACGTGCTACCTAGGCCAAACTTTGCTTGAGGATGATTATGGTATCCATCCAAAGTTTTTTTTTCGATGGATTTTTTTTATTAGTTTTTGTTTTATTATCTAAAGTTGATAATATGGAACCCACCCGTTGGTGAGACCAAAAACCTACTGAGGTTTGAGTGGCCACATAGGTATGGCAAGGTTATTTAAAATCAATTCTGGTAAATGGAAATTCGCTTAGTCTATAGGTTTGCTGTGGTAGGGGTATTTTATGACCAAATCATGACCTCCTTTAATTACAGGCCGCGACCAGCGAGAATTGGCAACGTCGCAAGTGGCGTTGTTTAATGTTTAGTGACAGACGTCCCATAAGATAACATGGTAGACAGGTGACATCAGCTCATTAATTCGCACTTTATTGCTTTGAATTTAAATTTATAAACATACATTTATTAAAATATTGACAATAAAACATACCGAATTGAATACCGAAACAATATGAATTAAAAATTTATATCTGTACATTTTTAAGCAGAGTCAATATTGTCATCAACAGTAACCATTCTTTCGTAAATATAGTAAATACCATTAGCTGCTAAAACACCACTTGCGACGTTGCCACTTCGAAGGCCGCGGCCTGGAGTTAAAGGCGGCCGTGGATCAAATAGTCTATTTATTTTTTTATTTTATTTCATTTGTCACGTAATATAGTAAAAAAATCGCTAATACGACAGATAGCATTTTTAATTTTAAATGTCTTTGTGCCACTTTGGCAGGAAAAGATGACCATGACAGGGAAGTAGGTAAAGTAAGTAGAGAGAGGTAGAGGTTGTCTGCATCAGCTGTTGTATCCGTGTGTGTGTGTAGTCCTATTCGTAATTATTCTATCCTACTCTTCCTCTACTCTAATCACAAATCACATCAACATCACAGCACAGCAGTCTCAGCTCAGTCAGTCAGGTTCTTTCACGATTACTAGTAATCGTGGGTTCTTTCTATCTAATCTAAAACAGAACTTTCCATTGCTGACCATCAACATCGACATCAACTATCAACCTAAATAACCTATTCTATGCAGCGTTGCCCCCAAGTGCAAGTGTAAGAGCAACACATTTCTCGGTTAAAATTCAGTATGGTGTGAAAAATTTATTCATTTTCTTGTGTTGCATTAAGGAAACTAGGTTATATTTTTGTAATGGATTTTGGTTCTGTTCTCTATACTGCTCATAAAAATGAGAAAATTACCAACAAAGAGGTAAATATATTTTACGGGTACACTACTAGGCGTACTGTAGTACATTAGATTAAGTTCAAATTACTTTTATTTTTAAACCATGCCAGATTCAAATTGACACGCCTTTCACCATAGATTTGAGTTTGTTACCTGTAATCACTCATTTATTGACCTAATTATTAAATCTAATATACCTAGGATTGGTTTTAAACCCTTTTACATAGCCCAGTGATAGGCCTAGGCCTATTTTTAGTCTACAGTTAGGCAATAGTAAGTTAGGCAATAAATTAAAGGAACATAGGCCTAGTCCTACATTTTAGTTAGGTCTACTGATAAGGCCAAAATTTAGTACCGTACCCTGGGCTACCTGTCCCACACTAATTTGAATGAAAAATATTGATCAATATAGGCCTATCGATTATTTCATTCGATAGTTTGGCTAGTTAGACATAGGTTAACCTAATCTAACTAATTGAATAAAACAATCGATATATTGAATACCGGTAATCTATGTAGCCCATGCCTACATCAATATTTTTCTTTTGAATAAGTGTAGGACAGATACTAAAGGTGCAGCCACTGATAACAGTAGATACACTGGTATTTTCTATTTAATTTAATTCTCCCAATGGTTAATCCATTTTACAATATTAGCCTAGCCTACATAAGTTAGATACCTACATACATCACCATAGAAAATATTACATAGAGAACTAAAATGAATTATGATGGTATCAGAAGGCTAGTCGTCATTAATAGAATGGTGTTAAAATACCCACATGCATGATCTACTTTCTAAACAAAATAAGTTAATCACGTTTATGGCTATCCCACTAACATTGCGTTTTTTTAACCTTGAAACGCAAATTTTGAGTTGAAATCAGCAACTGTCCCGAAAGTACAAGTGGAAAAAGTGCGAAGTTTCTTCGTCTAATGGGTCATTAACTTAAGCCAGGAGTTTAAATTTAGGCTACTTAAGTTATCCTTGGTTAGGCTTAAAGTGGGGGAGTAATTTCCAAGAGCAAAATCATTAATTACATTTTCAAGTTTGGCTATTAGACCTACTTCAGGTTTAAATTAATTATTATTAAGTTATTAATTGAATTAATAATGGTTTCTGGGAGCAGATAATTTTTCTTTGAAATGGTAAATTTCGTTGTTGAGGTCAGTTATGTCCTCCAGTATGTCCTCCATGAGGAATTCTACAATTTCATCTAACTGTTTAACTTAGTTGATATGTCGATGTAACTTACAGTAAGTTAAGAGATTTGCAATCAGAGCATACAGTTCATTTTAAAGTGAAAGTCATTTGATATTGATAGTTATTCATAGGCCTACTGATCGTCATTTATATAGCCTATATATACTTAACTTATTATAAACATTTGGAGTTATATCCTCTCTTCTGTTTACATTACAGTCACATATTAACTTATTACTTTGTCGTTATATTTTTTGGCCTAACTTAGACATAACTTATTTTACCGTACTGTTTTGCTGTTGCTTGGGACTAGTGGACGGGAGGCCTAGGCCTAAGTTAGTCTTATGGTAATGTTGGGTTGATACGGCTGGATTTTGTTGTAGGGTTGGTTGGGTGTGTATTTAGTGTGTAAATAAAATGCTGAATGTTATTTTAAACAATTGTTAACATTGTGGTTGGGTCTGCATACTCTAGTTTATTACCATTTCGAGCATACTCTTCACTTCTAAATTGAATGATTTTCTTTTTAGGTTAAATGCTACAAAACCAAATTTGACCCTCCTAAAAAAGAGGTCAAACCTCCTAAACCCAATCTGTCTGCAAACATTCAAAAATATCTTCAGAAAAGAGAAGAAGAAGAAAAAAGACGAGCTGAAGAAGAAAAAAGAAAGAAAGAGGTAATATTGCATCCTTTAGGCTAAGGCGACACTTGTTGACAAAATTGCGGTGACAATGAATCAAAGTGCGTAGCATTAAACTAAATAGGCCCCTAGAGGCGGCCACGCTAAGTGACTCTCGACCAGTGACCACCGGTAACAGAAAAATAAACGAAACCAGGTGTGTTTTTTTGTCACGGCGTCAAATACGTTCCCTATGTTATCATACGGCACCGGCCATACTAGACGACAAGTCGCTTACTCACACACCCTTTGCTGCTCTATTTTCATATCTATATTGTTCATTTTAGACTGACATATGGAAAATATGCTTTTAAATATTTTCATCGACAAAATAAGTGTCGACATGTTATCATGTGTCCTATCCTTCCGTTCAAATTCATATATATATTAGTAAGCTACATATACAGTGTGTAAATTAAGTATGGAAACAAATCTGTATTTTTAAAACCGAAATAGATAGAAATATTCTATTTGTGGCAATAATAGTTAACAAAGATTCCGCAATTTTTCACATGAAAAATATTTTTTTACCCCCCTAACAGGGTAGGTGGTAGGGGGTGACTTATTTTTTTCAAATAGCAACCCCTATTGAGTGACCCCTCATTTTGAAGAGTTTGTCAAAAAAAAACACAATGACGCAAATCCGAGGTGAATATCTCACTCCTAGCCCAAATGGCGGATATTCCAAAATTTGATTTATTGTACGTGAAAAGCACCAATTTCACAAATAATGGAAAGAAATCTGTATTTTTAAAACCGAAATAGATAGAAATATTCTGTTTGTGGAATTGATTGTTGACATAGGTTCCGCAATTTTTTTAATCAACAATATTTTTTCAACCCCTTTAACAGGGTAGGGGGTGGGAGTGACTTATTTTTTTCAACAACAACCCCTATTGAGTGACCCCTCATTTTGAAGGGTTTGTTAAAAGAAAAAGAATGACGCAAACCCGAGGTAGATATTTCACCCCTAGCCTAAATGGTGGGTAATGAAAAATTTAATTTTTGTAAAAAAAAGCCCATTTTGGAATATCCGCTATGTTAGCTAGGAGTGAGATATTCACCTCGGATTTGCGTCATTGTGTTTCTTTTGACAAACGCTTCAAAATGAGGGGTCACTCCATAGGGGTTGCTATTTGAAAAAAATAAGTCACACCCTACCACCTACCCTGTTAGGGGGGTAAAAAAATATTTTTCATGTGAAAAATTGCGGAATCTTTGTTAACTATTATTGCCACAAATAGAATATTTCTATCTATTTCGGTTTTAAAAATACAGATTTGTTTCCATACTTAATTTACACACTGTATATATATACATGTGCAGTGTATATATTTATGTTTTTATAGGTCTATGTGCCCAATTAGCGCGATAACTTGAGCAAAAGTGATGAGATTTTTAAAGAAGTTAATGAAATTTGGTATAAATATTTAAACCAACGTTAATTCAAACGAGATCGCAAATCAGAATGATCGTACTATGGGAACATTGGTTTAAGGGGCTTAAATGGGGTATAAAATTGTTTATTTCTTAATTTTGACCCTAAAACATACCATTGAAGCCTTGTTGTAAGCCTAACGGTTACAGAGATAATTTAAAAAATTGTAAATTTAAAATGCCCATTTTTATGGAGAATGAACTGTTGTAGTTTGCATGTTTATTCAAATATATATTTTAATACAATTTGGCAATATTGTTAATTTCTTACTAAGCTATCAAAATTTAAATTAACAAACGCTCCTCATTAGGTTACCTTATCTGTACCAGCAAACCTAAACATTCGTTTAAATTCATCTGCTTTAAATAGGAAATAAATCCGACAAGTTAAAGTGAATATTTTAGTAGAAATCTAGCCAAACAAATGTAAATTCGCTTAGTCTGCATGTTTGTTGCGGCGGGGGTATTTAGATATACAATAAATAGCAACAACAAGCATTAAACTGTGATTTGACAATTTAGACGTCCACATTGGTTTTAGAAACATAATTTAACACATTTATTTAGTAAAAATTTTTTTTCTTTTGTTGCAGGTAAATGGTTAAAAATTATTACGTGACCTAGTACGAAATATAAAGAGTGCACGTATAAATACTGTATATACGATTTAATTTGTGAAATATTTGCTTAAATTGTATGATACTGGTAAATAATAGTAAAAACAGATGTATTCTAAGGTGGCCCAAAAACATACAAAAACTTTCATGGATCCTTATTTTTTTCCATTATCAATGACACGATTTTGAAAATACAGTAGGCCTATAACATCTCGAAACTCTATTTTTACTGGTATGGTAAAAAAGTAAATTGAAAGGTTGAAATTGTCGCCTATTGTAGCCACCCTCAGTCGCGCGAAAAAAGGTCGCTGCGACAATGTCGCCAAGTGTGGCCCTAGCCTTATGATACGCCACTCAAACTGCAGAATATTTATCTTTTCTCTTACTTTAAAATAAAATAAAGTAGGCTTGATAAAAAAAAATAGGCCTACAACAACGCCCTTGATACTATATATACAGTCAATTAAATTTATTTAGAATATAGCACGTCACATGTTAATCCTGCATATTCTATATTCTAATTTGGCTCTTTTTCAATGAAGGCCTCTGTTACTGACAAACTCTTCAGGGCATGTTCGTAGGGTTGTTGCGATACCAGCAATCTATCGATATTAGATATCGATAACGATTCCAGCCTCTAATATACCAGCCTGTAATATCGAATATCGATATTACTTTGAAGGAATCTACTTTTTAATGACTTGCTTGAGCTTGCTTAGGATTTTGATTGGGCGTTCTGTCAGGAAATCTTTTTTGGCAGATATGTTACTTTCACATTAGTACCTGTTGATTGTTACTACTTTTTATTTATAAGGACTAAAGAGGAAGTGAAATTTGAAATTATTAATAAAAATCTAAGCGATAAACATAGTTGTTTGGAGCTTTAAACACAGTGCATTTCAAAACCAGCCTAATTTTTTGGAGTTACAATAAAAACAATAATTACCGTATTTACAACAATTTAAACAATGTTAGCACTGGTAGACTTTAGTATAGGCTATAATCAATGGCTCTTGAGCTCTGAAAACTAACAAGTGACAGCTGACAGCGCAACCAACACTCCAGCAATAAAAATCAGTTACTACTAACTTAGTTCCTTCTACCACAAAAAATATAAGCAGCTATTCCCATATTAGTGTGGATTTCATCTTGTACATAACTTAACTCGATAAGAAGGTATGCACGGCCACCTTTAACTACAGGCTGCGGCCTGGTAGAATTGGCAACGTCGTGTAAGTGGTGTTGTTTAGCGACAGACGTCCCATAAGATAACATGGTAGACAGGTGACATCAGCTCATTAATTCACACTTTATTGATTTAAATTTAAATTTATGAACATAAATTTATTAAAATATTGAAAATAAAACATACAGAATGGAAAACCGAAACAATATGAATTAAAAATCTAGATCTGTACATTTTAAGCGGAGTTAATATTGTCATAGTCCAGTAACCAATCTTTCACAAATGCACAAATACCATTAGCTGCTTCCAAACAAAACAGCTGTTACAACACCACTTGCGACGTTGCCACTTCGAAGGCTGCGGCCTGGAGTTAAAGGCGGCTGTGAGGTATGACGATATCACTAAAACTTTATCTAAACTTAGAAAATTCAATATCGAGAACCGATATCGTCAAAATTCTTCCGATATCACGATATTATCGAAACCCCAATATCGGAAATATCAAAATTAAAATATCGATATATGCATTGATATCGATAATATCGCAATATCCCTACATGTTCGGTAGAGTCTGGGCGTATTCAGTGGAGTTTTTGGGCAATTGCATGAGGTTAATTGTACTAAAAAATACAATTGAAACCGCGATTAAATGTTCTGATATCTTTATTAAAACATCTTTTCGCTCCTTTCACACTATATGGTTTCCGTCGTCCAGTAGAAAACAGAACGATTTTACGTTGTGTCTAGGTTTCTTTCACATTACACAGTTTCTGAAAATTCTTGACTTGCTTTTGACCAATGGTGTTTAAGAATTCACGGCATAGAGAAGGCACTGCTGTACACAGAAAAATAAAAAGACACAATGCCACAATTACGTTTGTCGTAAGCACAGTTTGGCGGCACAGACTTGATGCAGCAGGGTCAAGCCGTTTGAACTTTTGTACATATTTAGTTTTAGAGGTAAAGTAGGAGTGAGCCTATGTTACAAATTGTATTATAATAATTGGTATTACAGTTGGATACATTCTTTATGTAAATAATTAAAAAGTTATTTGTATGTTTTGTGAGTCAATTAATTAACAGTAAAAGTGTTCATGTTATTTTGGGGTTTTATTAATGTTTTATTATTTAAGTATCCGTGTTGACCGAGGATGTTGATTTTCTCGGTCCACATTACCTTGGTTATTACTGTATGTTGTTTGGTGTTGGCGAGGTAGTTCATTGTTTGCATCTTGGACTGATAAGGCTAATATTGCTGGTCTGTGACCACTATCTTATCACTACAGACACCACACTCTTGTTCATGTGATAAAATCCATAACATTAACTCATTGTCTTTTGGTCACCACATAGACTTGGTAGGTCTATGGTGTCAGGCAGTTATTTAAAATAATAATACCTACCTTAATACATCGTCTACTTACTTAATCGTCTTACTTAATGCAACTACTCTACTAGACAAATCAAAGTTCAGTCTAGATTGTTATTGATCATCAAATCCTTCTCCAATGAGAAAATATGTTTTTTACTTTCTCCCCCTATATGGAGAAAGTATTGTTTTTGTCAAAATGTTCGAGTTTGAGTTTCGAGTGGATACATCCGTTTTGGGTCCCCCTGGACCCAAAAAAAGTGGTTTTCGAAGTGATGTCTGTGTGTGTACAGAGCTAGGGACTACACCTGTGGTCCGATTTCAATGAACTTGGTGTGTAGGTTTTAATCCATGGTATCTCCAGGCGTTTTTTTTTATTTTTTTGAATTTTTTATTTTTAATGTTGATTTTATTATAAAAACTCATAAAATAACGAAAAAATTGGATTTTTTCAAAAATGGCCCAAACGATTTTGATGAAAATTTATTATGTTATAGTCCTTTAAATTCTGAGCATAATGGTACAAATCCCATTTCCCTTAAAATTACGGTTCAAAAGTTATTGTAACTTATGTTATTTTCCCATAAAAAAAAACATAAAATACCGGTAACAAAAAAATCAGATTTCTTGAGAAAAGCTGGTTTTTATCCAAATTAGTACCTATGTTATGGTCCTTATAATTCTAAAAAAAAATAGTACAACACCCCAATGTAACAATTCTGGTTTAAAAGTTATTGCAACTTTTGTGATTTTTAACTATAAAATATCATATTTACTCTCACCCATCATAAAGGTTGTTGACAAACTTATGGGAGAAAGTATGTGTCAGAATGTGATACCGTTTATTTCATTTCCAATTTCCTAAATGCTTTGTTATTTTTTGAATGAAATGTTGATTTTTTTTTAAGTAAACTTTTGTGTTTGCTTGTGTAAAATTAAATGTTTATCGTTAAATACTTATGTTTCTAGTGGAAATTGGAGACATAGTCTAATATTACAGGAGAACCTCGATAACAAGACTCTCATGGGGATTATTAAATTAGACTTGCTATCAAGGTTGACTTCTTATTGAGGTTTGTAATAACATGTGATTAAGGGTAAAATAAATTCAATGGGTTTTGAAAATTACACTTTTGATCAAGGATGACTTGTTATCGAGGTCCTACTTACTGTGTTGGCAAAAAATTAAGGTATCATATATATTAAAAAATATTAAATACATTAAAAAATATTAAATACATTAAAAAATATTAAATAAATTATGACAAATTTTGTCATTTAGTTAACTCAGATTGCGATACTACCGCTTGACAGATTTTGATGATCCTTTTTTTGATTTGAAGGTAATTTTGTGTAGCAGGTCCTGTAGAATCACCCCACTAAATTTGTAAAAATTCTTGGATCTTCTACGGTTTTTTTATGGAACAAGCATGTTAGCTAGTCACACCTTTGAAAAATGCTTGTTCAATAAAAAAACCTGTGAAAAATCAGAGAAATTTTAGAAATAGAGCGATTTTTTAAGGTGAAGGAGTGCGATTTTCGGAAAACGCTTAAGAGTGTTTTGTAGAAAATTTAAATGACCATGAAAATTCTTTCAAATCGTTCGAGCTACAGCCGTTTAAAAAGAAACTTGTTTTTTTCCAAAATTCTAGGCACTGTCCACCATTCAATTTCTCGTCTTTACGCAAACGTCAAAAGTGATATTGCATATGGACTATTATAAATCTTAGATTATAATCAAGCAAATAATATTAGGTTAAATCGTCAACCTAACTGTAATTTGAGAGATGTTCTAAACTTGATTAGCCAAGAGCTGGAAAAATGCAATCCTTATATAAAACAGTACAAAACTATACACCATCAAATTGAAGAGGATAAACAACTTGCCATGGTTGAAAATCGTCCATACAAAGATATGGTTATGACATTTTACCATAAACCTGACGAGGAAACAAAAAGCCCATATACATACCCAGAAACCCCGCTTCATTATGTTTGGAATAAGACCAAGAATTGCTGGACAAACACAATATGTAAATTGGAACATAATTGGAAGAATGTACAATGTTTCACCGTCTGACTGTGAAAGATACCATCTTCGTTTGTTACCAAATCACATAGTTAGTTGGTGTTTCAAGTTTTGAATAAATAAGAACATATAAAAATGTCGTTTACCGTACATATAAGGAGGATGCTATACAGCGTGGTTTACTTTTACATGATAGTGAATGGCAGCGTTGTTTAACAAATGCCTAAACAACTGTCAGCTATTTTCCTACAGTTTGGTATTCCAATCACCAAACAATGCACTACAGATGTAGGAAGGTTTTAAAGGCTTTTCTTTGTGAGGACTACCAATTTACCTTGGAATATTTTACGAGAATGTAGCCATTAATCATGCCCTATTAAATATTGATGCAACTATTAATTAAACTGCACAATTTTTCTCTTCCTACAATGAATACAAATGAGGTCATCACTCTGATAAGGAGGACCCTTTTCAAAATAATCTTGATTCTATCCATAAGGCAAACAGTGATCAATTAACTGTAATTGAAACAGTAATCAAGGCAGTAGAGGAAAATACAATTTATAAGAGCAACGCATTTTTCATATAAGGTCCTGGGGAACAGGAAAAACTTTGATATACAATTGTTTAATCCAATACAGTGAAACCAAAAACTTTAGTGTGATTCCCGTAGCGTGGACTGGGATAGCAACAATGTTGTTACCTTATGGTCGCACAGTACACAGCTGTTTTAAATTGCCACTACAGCTAAATGAAACTTCCGTTTCTCCACTGAAGCCAAATAGCAAGGAATCTGATTCAATAAAGAATGCTAGACTCATTGTTTGGGACAAAGTTGTTATGCTTTGATGGCTGTGGATCGATTACTCCAGGACGTAATGTGTAATAGGAGAGAGATTTTAGGTAAGTCTTGCTTGTTAGTAGTCCCACATGCTTCTAGACACACGATAGTGCAGAACAGTATTAAATGTTCACCAATTTTGTTGGCATTCAAAGTTTTAAACTAACAAAGAATTAAAGATCAAATCAAGAGGACCTTGAGTTCGCAAATTTTTTATTAAGCATTGGAAATTGAGATCACATAGTTCCAGATGGTGAGGCCCCAGAGGTAGTTGATTTAGCCACACAGATAATTTCAGAAACGGACATGATTTCTGATATTTATAGGGATTTATTAATTAACTTTGGAAGATTGCAGAGGGAAATTATCGAAGGTTGCAATTCTTGTACCGAAAAATAAACACTGCAATGAAATAAATTTGAAGGTGATGGATTTACTCTCAGGGGACTATCAGGAATATTTAAGTGTGAATAACTTGATTAGTGAAGAATTGAGTAAAGTTATGCAGTTTCCCTCAGAGTTTTTAGATAGTTTGGATTTGAGTGGTCTTCCACCACATATCTTGAAACTAAAAAAAGGGGTAATTGTAATTTTGCTTAGAAATTTGAATGCTAAAATCAGTTTATTAAATGGAACTAGACTTATTGTTAAAAACATGCATGAATATTTCTTACGTTTAGAAATTATAACTGAACAGCACACAGGAAATGATGTTTTGCTGCCAAGAGTGGACAATCTTCCTTCTCACAACAACAATTGTATCTCCTTCATACACATTGCCTTTTTTATTTTGAAGGCGACAGTTTCCAATTTGCCTGGCTTTTGCAATAACAATAAATAAGGCTCAAGGACAAACTTTGGACAGGGTTGGGCTTTATCTACCACAACCAGTGTTTAACCATGGCCAGCTATATGTTGCTCTGTCCAGAGCTAGGAATTTCAAAGAAATCAAGGTGGAAATCCTCCCAAAAACCAACAGAACGGTCAGCATAGTATATAAGGAGATTTTGTAACTTTTGATGTGGGTATTTTAAACTTTTAAATAAAAAATTCAAAATGTTTGTATTTATTATGAGTTTTATTATTTTGATTGAACCGCAACATTTTGTGGGGGAACAGCTAGTTAGCAAATAATAAGTCGAGGGTTAAAACTAAATTCTTGTAAAAATTGAGTGAGGGTAACTAACTAATCTTAAAAGTATTGAAGGGTTGAAATTTTCTCTATTTTGACTAATGGAGAAGACTACACAGAAACAATTCCATTCGGTGTTTTTAGGATCAAATGCATCATACCATATATAATTCACTGACAAATATTTTGCCTTTGTTGTAAAGTGGCAAATTCAGAGACTTATCCTTTAATAATATATGGCAATAACAACATTGATCGTCTCTAATACAGGTAGTAAAAGCCTACATATGAATATTATCCCTGTTGCTCAAATTCAAACAATTGCTAAGTATTACTGGCGTTATTTAAAAAAGAGTAAATATCATAATTTCTTATGACTTTATAAGATTCGACTCAAAGATTATGGAAATACTCACGATGTACATAACAGTTCGATGTAATGGCAATTTCTTGTAAATATCTTTCCTTTTTCAAAAGCTGATCTTGATTTTTTAGTGTTTTCTACAAATGTTTCCCACTCATAGCCGCATTAGGTTGTCCATAATAAGTATTATAAGTTCTAAAACAAACATTATTTCTATTTCTTCTCCTTGGTGGTGTTCTATGACTTTCCTATGTTTCCATAGTTTGCAAATAGGCTCTTTCAATGATCCAGGTCCGTTCGCTTTTTTCATTGTAATATTTACGTCAACCCAAATTCAAATAGTAAATATTCATTTCAACCAAGTCAGTAAATGTTTGTAGCAAACTTATTGACTGTTTACAATAAAAAATGTTCTTCTTCTCACATATAATTTCTGACAACAGCTGGAGTTTCATAATAATGTTTGTTTCCCATGTTAATCTTATGGGGAAATACAAAACTTTAAAGGGCCCCAGGGCCTCACTCTCTAATTATTTCCTGCACAACTTCACGTTACGCTCTTTCCAATGACACCAAAAACATGTCAATCGGTTCAGTAGTTTCGGAGGAGTAATTGTCACAAAAAACCAAACCTGCTTGCGTATTAAATAAGTATAGATGATGTATTATCACAATTGGAATAATTTAATTGAGAACAATATTTTTCTTACAATGTTTACTAAATTTTACCACTGCTCAATTTTTCAGGAACTTATAGCTCTTCGAAATCAAGACAAGAAAGCCTTTAAACGAGTTCAGACAATGTTGAAACGCACAAAATCGGCAAACAAGAGTGTAATGGAGGATGCTATTGATGAAGTCAACACCGTTGTTACCATGGCAGGTATGTTATGATGACATTTTCAGATTTTTTTTGTTAAAGACTTGCTGCTTATAACTTATTGTTTGAAAGCTTTTACAATGTAAAAAGACAAAGCTCTCACTTTCAACTTTAAGCTAGCTGCTGCAAGAGGCACTAAGTTCAGTTTTTACCCAGTGGCACTAATATTTCCCCATTTGGTATTGAAAGTTCTATAAGGTACGGTTGAACCTATGTATGCCCCTAATCAGAGTTTAAATACTGTATAAGTATGTCTCATATATATAACTATTTTCAATAATATTTATATATAAAGTTAAGGATTTTTTTTACAAAGCATAGAATAAGTTAAACAGAAAATGCAGAACCAGAAGAGCACAGAAAATGTAAAATTAAGTAAAACAAAATGTTGCAAGATTGAAGAACATTGTAAACAAAAAAAATATTAAATCACAACACCTCACAGCAAAATTACAGGTTTTTGTTTTATAAATATAAAAAATATTATTAGTTTCCGGTACAGTCAGTACTTATCCTTGTGCTCGGTCTTTCTCAGTTTCATAGGAAACAGTATGTCTATGTATCAGCTCTGCACTGATCATGGACGATTTTTCCCAACAGCCCACATTTAATTTAATTTCAAAGTTGCTCACCAGGCATCAACAGCAGACATCACAGCAACATTTTATGAAAAAAACAATGTGTTTTTGCCTGTGCTGTTGCTGAGCATTCTGTGTGTTTAATTTAGGGTAGCGCCGTTGGCCAAACAAGCAGCAGGGACAATAATTGTTTTGAGATTTATCTGAGTTACTGTGCGAACTCGGACAGTTCAAATTCTACCCGACTAGCTGAGTCAACCTAAAAGGATCTTTTGGATAGCTAAGGGTTAAACTGGTAACATGTTTGACAATTGTGGTTTTGAGTGAAGAAATAAAGTAATTAGTCTAATGTGCGAGGGTTGTCTGTTTGTCAAAGTCTCCAATGAGATCCAGTCCAGCTAGCTACAACAAGCAACCAAGCAAGCTACTTTAGTTAAAATCTAGCACCAGCCTCATGCTGTTAACACGTCTCTGGTTTCAGATTTGAAATAGCTCGCATAGCTGCAATTGGAGCTTGTTAGAGATTTTATCATACAGACAGCCTTTGTATGACAATAATAATACTTTTTAGCAAGTTAAATCTTCTTTAGTCTGGTGTTATAAATTGGTATGTTTCAGGACCGCAACAATGTGATGAAGACGATTACGGCTACGTTTCCAAGGAGGCCTCTGAATTTTACTCTAAAATGATGGATAAATATGCAAATATGCCACCTGAAGAACCTAAATTCTCTTTATCCAAGAAAACTGTTCCAAAGGATTTAAATGCTGCTAAGGTAAATATATTTTTTTAAAGTTATATTTATATCACAATTAACTGTTCCATTGAATATTTTTGAATAGTTGGCTCACATGGATAAAGTATCCTTACTAAGTGTTTGTTTGTTTCAGATAGATAGTTTAACTTTTAAATGCTCGCAATGAATAGCCATAGAAATAATGTATTCAAATTATCTTTATTTATATTATGTACAAAACGTACAATAAATAGTGTCAAGCTTATAATTACTATGTACAAATACTTAACCTAAACAAAAAATACAGAAAATAAAACTATTCTATGATGTAGACCTAAACTTAACCTCGATAAGAAGTCTCATTGGGATGATCAAATGGGGCTTGTTATCAAGGTTGACTTCTTATTGAGGTTTGCAACACCATTTAATCAAGGGTTGTATGAAACAAAGGTTATTTGACTTTTATTTACTTTTCTTTAAATTAATTTAAGACAAGTACTATTAAGACACTTTGCTGATTAAGAATTATTTAGATTCCTATTATATCACACTGACCTGTCTGGACAGTGGAGATATAAGCAACTAAAGCTCAGAATAAAGTTTCATATCATAAAACTATTACATTCAAATGACATAAAATGAGGTTACTAACCTGTCGTCAATCAATCCTCTATTGTCTTGGATGACTAGTTTCGGGTTTAAATCCCCATTTTCAAATCTCTTCAGTCTTCAAAAGTCAAACATGTTTTCTTGCATAAGCCGTCGTCAAAATTACTTCACACATACACATAAACACACACGAAAACATTTATATTTACAAATCATGTACATGCGCGTGAGGCCGGCCAAGGACAAAACCAGACTGCCAAGACTGGCAGACTGGCAGTCTGGTTTTGTCCTTGGCCGGCCTCACGCGCATGTACATGATTTGTAAATATAAATGTTTTCGTGTGTGTTTATGTGTATGTGTGAAGTAATTTTGACGACGGCTTATGCAAGAAAACATGTTTGACTTTTGAAGACTGAAGAGATTTGAAAATGGGGTTTTAACCCCGAAACTAGTCATCCAAGACAATAGAGGATTGATTGACGACAGGTTAGTAACCTCATTTTATGTCAATAGATCAATCCTGGAGGCAAATTATGTATACATTCAAATGTTTTTCACTTCACAAAACAGCACATAAAAAGGTATTTTTTTCTGTTCACAAGGATCGAGTAAAAGCTGCTTTGCAACGAGTAGAAGAAGAAGAAATGATGCCACATAAAAGGAAACGAAAATCAAAATCTGATAAACATGATGAGGAAAACGGCAATGAAGACGATGATGATAGAAGGAGAACCTCAAGAGAATCCTCTCCCGTAGAAGAAAAAAAACCTAAAAAGCCCAAGAAAATGGCTCCTCCTCCGATAGATTTCTCCTCTTTACTGAAGTTAGCAGAACAAAAGCAGTTTGAACCTATCAAAATTGAAAAAAAGATGGAAGATGAAGAGAGACCAATGACAAAAAAACAAAGACTTGAATATGAAAGAGAACTTGAAAGCAGACGAAGGAAAGAAGAACGAGAAGCGATGAGGCTAGCTGCTGTAAATAAAAGATCCAAGTCATCTGACAGTGGTGAAAGAAAAGAGAAACCAAATGGTTTGGGACGTATTCCAAAAAAATCAAATGCAGCAGATAGTAAGCCAAAACAGGAAATGAACCAAAGGTACTCTGGTGGAACTGATGATCATCAGGGGAATGGTGACAGGTACTCAAATACTGAAAGACAAAAGAGTAAAAACACTTTAGAATCTGAAAGGTCTTATAGTAATTCTGGAACCAACGATTACAGGAAAGATTCGAGCATCTTAAAGTCCAGGCTTTCAACGACAGATGATCAGAAACCACTTAAACCGAAACAGCCTTCAATTTCATCAAACAAAATTAAATCAAGAAACCATAACATATCAGATGACGAGGAGTCAGATGCATCAGATTCAGGTTATGAGAAATCACAACGATCATATAGCAGCCATTTGATGGAGCACCAATCAGAACGTTCAACTTCCTACAGAGAGTATGAACATCGTCCTTCATCTGGGTCGGAAAGAGGCAATGCAGAAAAATATAAGCCAAAAAAATATTCTAACAATATTAATGAATGTACTGACTCTCAGTCTAGTAATGACAGTAGAAAATATAATCCTACAAAATTACAGCCAAACTCTGAAGCAAGTCATCACAAATACAAACCTCAGGCAAAGTATAAAACTGATGTAAATGGAAATAAACATGACCTATATAAACCATACCATCCAGAAAAACAATCTTCCAAGCTTAACAGTTCGTCTAATGGTAACGGCAGGTCTTATTCTCCTGTAGGAAGTAGTTTCAATAATGGAAAATATTCAAACAACCGTAAACAATCTAGTTCAGATTCTGAAGATGAGATGAAATACAGACCATCCACAAAGGGTAGTTCTTCATACAAGCCTTTGTATCGTGATAAAGTTGTGGAGAGTGATGAAGATCAGTCTCAGTCTCCAGGCTACTCAAGTCAAGAGAAAAAACGTAAAGTTTCATATTCTGAACCTGAATCAGAACATGACTCGCGAAATGGACCTCCAACAAAAAAATTATCAACAAGTAAGGTGAAGAAAATTTCAAGTTTATTTGAGGGATCAGATGATGAACAATCATCAAACCATGACAAAGTTCGAGTAAATGAAGATAGGAGACCAAAAATGTCTACTGATCACAAAAGACACAATGAAAGCGATGTCAGAAAATCAAAACCTGAATCAGACAGACAGAAACACCCTTCCTCAGATTCAAAATTCAAAATTCCTAAAAGTTCTAAATCAGAATCTGAAAAATCCAAATCATCAGAAAGTGACAGATACAGATCATCGGAAAATTCAAAATCTTCTCATTCTCTAAAACCATCAAGCAAAGATACACAAAAGTATCAACAAGAAAGTTCAAAATCAGAGAGAGTTTCTTTAACCTCCAAACCAGATGGTGATAGAAAACGTCCAGGCGAAACAAGTAGCTTCAAACCTCGTCCCTCTACAGAATCCCTTAAAACTGACACAAAAGAAAACATAAAGAAAACTGCAGAGGAAGTTCTAAAAAAAAGTGCTGATGTCTGGTCTAAGCCCTGCAATCAGTCACCATCTAATCCTTCACCCAGACCTCTAGGTGGTTTAAGTGAAAGTCAGCTGCAGAGACTACGAGAAATGAATAAAAAACCAACTCTTTCAAAGCCTCCTGAAAATAGAATTAGATCTGGACCTTCAGAAAACAGAAGTTCATTGATCGGTAGATCAGATGGGAGACCTGCAGCTAAGCCAGGACTGAGTCCTCAGGGCAAACCGAGTCTTTTAATGAAGGCCGCTGCTGAGAGAGGTGCAAAGGCACAGATGGCTTCATCAAGGAGTAATGAATCATCTGTCAACAAATCCAGAGATCTGTCTGCTAAAGACTCAAGACTAAAGCAGGGAGAAATTAAACCCAAACAGTTTCCTCCGAATGATCTAAAACCCAAACAGTTTCCTCCAAGTGATTTGAGGCCCAGGCAGTTTCCTCCCAAAGATGTACGTCCACGACAATTTCCACCACCAGATGTTAAAAGGAAACCAAAGCCTCGTAAGTATTTATTTTAACAATGTTTGTTCTAACAGTAACAGTACAATAACTCATCCTATCAATTTAGCTACAAGAATTTTCTCTCTTTTACTTTCTTCCCCTATACATAGTATATATGGAGAAAGTACCTATTGTTTTTCGTCAAAATTTTCGAGTTTGAGTTTTGAGTGGATATATCCCTTTTAAGTCCCCCAAAACCAAAAAAAGGGGTTTTCGAAGTGATGTCTGGTTGTGTGTGTGCAAGGCCACACTAAAAAACCAGGCCGTAATGCTTGTCAAGCATGGCGTCACGATAGAAGACGGCAATGACGTAGTTATTTATTTATTTATTTTCCTAGGAAAGATTAAAACCAGCAGCTGATCACAAACGGCAAAAATTATGTCATTGCCGTCTTCTATCGTGGCGTACATTAGCTTGACGAGCATTACGGCCTGTTTTTTAGTGTGGTCTTGGTGAGTGTGTGTCTGTAAGTGTGGATGTGTATATAGCTGACTACACCGGACAATGGGATCCACAAATGGATTTTATTTAAGTGATAATGCTGCAGCCCCTAAGTCTAGCCTAAAGTAATGTAAAAAACAATCCCGGGCTCGTGCCTAGCGTCCTAAGACAAAAAAAATTTTAATATAAAAAAAAAATAAAAATAAAAATAAAAAACGTCTAATCCGAAATAGGTCCGGTGCCAACCATTTCGGGCTAACGGGACTCTACTGTAATTCTAAAAAAATAAATAGTGCAACCGATTGCTGTTACAATAATGGTTCAAAAGTTATTGCAACTTTTGTGATTTCCCCCTATGAATATCTAATCTAATTGAAAGAGAAAATCAAAACAGAAAAAATAAAAAATATTTTTTTGGATCAAATACATATTTTATAGACCCAATAATTAACAAAGTGTTACATTATAAATTGCTAACCTTATCAGAGCTTGAATGTAAGTTTTTCTATTTTTTTACAAATAATTGTCTCAACAACTACAAAGACACATCAGGTCACTAATGTTTATAAAAGTCTGAAAAAATTAGTAAATTCTACTGAAAATTAAAAATAATGTTTATAAACATCTAACTTGTTTCCAAAACAATGCATCTATCATATAATTAAAATTAAAATTTGTATTATATGTAAAAGTAAAACATTAATAACGGAACAATCTGAAATGTACACGTTTTTTATTAATAATTTTGAATATTTAATGTAAAAAAATGTTTTCCTATTAATTTTTAACTACTTCAACCAAATCGAACAAACCTTTATAAATAATACATCAACAGAGTAATATATTTTTTAAATTTCATTTTGCATTCATTTTCGTGAGCGTTAGTGATCTGATGTGGAGTTGGTGACCTGATGCGGTGCTAGCAAAACAAACGTTTTTTAGGCTTTAATTATGGCACTCAGCGAAGTAAATAAGGAGTATTTACTACAAATGCAAGTCATTTTCAGACAATACAACTTTTAGTACAAATTATCTTGTTTTAGTAATATTACTGATGTTAGAAAACTTTAGCGATCTGACCCATAGCATCTGTACATAGAAATATAACATTGTCATTACCAAAGTACAGGTAAGAAAGTATATTCATTTGAAACAAAGAAGAGTAAAACAATTCACATTGCAAACAACTCATTGCATCTAAATCTACTGGATCTGTGATGAAACAGAGAATAATCAGGTATAACATCAGGTCAATAACATCAGCGACATGAGTTAAACGTTTATTAAGAGCAATAGCGTTACCGAACTGACGAATTTGGTCGTCTTTGTCTATAGTGCCGTTGTAACAGCTAAAATGGTGGTAAACGGTCGTGACAACAGTGCACCACAAAAACTATGATATTCAGTGTTAAAATTGTTTTTATTAGCATAAATAATAAGTTTAAAGACGTTAGCGACCTGACGGACAATAAACATAACAACAACACTTAGCTCAATCGATATTATTTGGCGATCAAAAGGGTAGCCTAAATGAAATCCGGACAAACACTGCATAGTCCACTCTATCCATCTGTCATGGCGACACTGATGGCTCTGGTGGGACTCTAGGTGGGCTAGTGGTAATTATGGCGGCAAATTCAAATTGTCGTTCATACTTGGCGTTTTACTGGGAACTTAAGTTTACATGCTAAAATTTTGTTTTAAAGTGATAATTTAATTGTAAAACACTTAATAGGGGTTAATAAAGACACTGAACAATTTTTGTACAACATAAAAGTTTATTTATTTTTATTCTTTAAATTTCATAAACTGCTTAAAGTTCCTCTACGACGTCTTGGGGACAGTTAGCAACCTGACAAAAACGGCTTTCAAATATTGTATTAAATATTAATATATGATAAATCCTTTCATAAATTGTATTAAGTATGTTATTTATACATGGAACAGTAAAATAAAAATAAGTTTTGGGTTTTTTTAAATTTATTTATAGTTTTTTTTTTCTGGGACATAAATTTTCTCTCAATTTGATATTCACCCATAAAATCATAGTTACTCCCACCGCTTACCCATGATAAATGTTGTTGACAAGCTTATGGGAGAAAGTATGTGTCAGATTGCTGATACCGTTTATTTTTGCTTACCTTTGGCATTTTATTATTTTTTCTTCTATACTTTTTAAAAGTTTACTAAATTTGTTGTTAATTCTGTCAATAGGTAGAATCGAAGACTCGGATGATGAATATGACTCTGATATGGACAGCTTTATTGATGATAGCACAGATCTCAGAGCAGAAGATATATCTAGAGAAATCCAACAGATATTCGGCTACGACAAATCAAGGTAACTGTTCATCATTACTTCTGTGACAAAGCAATTTTTGTAGAAAATACTTTGTTGTTGTTATAAATAAAACTAAGTTTAGCTTTTCTTTAATCATGTTTTTAATTTGTAAGCTAAATATTATTGTCATAAACTATTGAATAAGAGTGTTTAAGTATAACAAGGGGATTTGTGAGAAAATTGTGCATTTCAATAGGGTTCAAAACCAATGAAGTAGCATTATTTACCTTGTAAATATTATGTTTCTTTGAGATAGTTATTAAGTCCATACAACTTTGAATTAAAAGTATATGATAATGTTGTAAAATTTTTTGCTTATAGATTGACACCATAAAGAGTGTTTTACCTACCTCAAACAATATGTAGTTACAAAAAAAGTACAGTAGAACCCCTTATAACCGGCCACCACGGGACCAAGCCCCTGGCCGGATAACGATTTGGCTGGATAAACCAACCTATAATGAAAATGATAATTCATACCAGTTATAACAATAGGTAATCAATATATGCAGTGAAAAGTCTCATTCCAGTCTGTTCTTAAAAAAAATAAACATGTTTGTAATAAGAAAAAAAAATATTTGTAGGTTAAAATGGTTAAGTAATGAAGAACGTACAAATATTATGATTCCAGCCGACAAATACTATTAATGAAGGTAAAAATGACTATAAATTGGACTTGAAAATCATTAGGACTTAAATGGTACATGCATTTCAACCACAGAATGTGATTTCAACTCAACATTTTTATCCATTTTGTAAAATACAAAAACTAATAATATACTGTACTGTACTAACACTAACCCTACTTTGGAAATAATCAACCAACTGATCAAAGGTTAGGCCTACTAGCTCAACTTAGTATAGTGACACAGCAAAAAATGTATAAACAGATAAATAGTGAGAACAATTTATTTGATGACTTGAGCAGTCACAAAGACTAGTGCTTGCATCTTAACGTCCGTAAGCTGTGAGAAAAACATTTTGATATTGGCTTCCTGGAAGGGGCCGGATAAACAGAGGACCGGTAAAACCAAGGCCGGATATGAGGGGTTCTACTGTAACCTATTTCAAATCCATTTCCATAAACTGGTTTGTCTTTTGCTAACAGTATGACTGTGGTCAAACATTTACCTGAAGTATCGTCTCTTCACATTGAAATTCACATGTAAACTTTGTAAAGAAAGTTGTTCAAAAACACTGAATGTTTGATCAAAGGCTAGAGGCTAAGCCATAAAAGAAATTGCCTTTTACTTTCTCCTGCTATACATAGTAAAGCCTATGGAGAAAGTATTGGTTTTGTCAAAATCGTCGAGTTTGAGTTTTGCGTGGATATATCCGTTTTGGGTTCCCCTGAACCCAAAAAGTGGTTCTCAAAGTGATGTCTGTGTACGGAAAAATTGGATTTTCTCTAAAATGGTCAAAACGATTTTGATAAAAATTTAGTATGTTATAGTCCTTTATATTCTGAACAAAATCGTACAATTCCCATGTCCGTAAAAATTACGGTTTCAAAGTTATTGCAACTTTGCTATTTTCCCATAAAAACCCCATAAAATAACAAAAAATCGCCGGTTTCGAATAAATTAGTATGTTATGGTCCTTTAAATTTTGAACAAAAAGGTACAAATTCAATTTTTTTAAAAATTATGGTTTCTAAAGTTGTTGTAACTTTGTTATTTCTATCATTCTAAACAAAAAAGTGCAACCCCCATTGCTGTTACAATTAAGGATTAAAGGTCATTGCAACTTATGTGATTTTCCCCTATAAAATATCATAGTTACTCCCAACGCTTACCCATAATAAAGGTTGTTGACAAACTTATGGGAGAAGGTATGTGTCAGATTGCTGATACCGTCTATTCAGTTACCATTTGTTGCTCCGCTAGATCATAAGCTTTAAAATTACACATCAATCGTTAAAATCTGTTAATTAGGGCGATTGAATAAGGTAACAGATTGAATAAGGGATATAACAGAGAAACCCTTATTGTATAAATACGAGGGTCGTTTTTCAAGTAAGGGCCGTTTCTGCGTATAGCTCTTTAACGCCGCAACTAGGCTTCTTGCCACTGGTAGAGCTGCAGGGAGTATTGCTCGACGTCCAAATGTCACGACATCCAATGATATAAGTCAATGTCACGACATCCAATGATATAAGTCAATGTCACGACATCCAATGATATAAGTCAGTGTCATGACGTCCAATGATATAGTCAGCTTCATGACATCTAAAATATTATTTTTGAGCTGTCTCATGACGTCTAATATCAACTATTTCTTCAATAAGTTATATACGAGGCATACGCAAACACTCCAGGAATAACGCTGCCTTTCTTTATGTCGAGGTTATTGCATTTAATCCAGTCAACTTTGAACCCAAATTAGTGTGGATTAATGAGGATTTACTCATGTACTACAGTACATAGGTCAAACTCATATTTAGAAGAGGATGATGTAAGCCATATGTTTTATTGTTGAGTTGTCCAGTTGGGACTGTTAAAAGTGTGTAATCTTAATTTTTTTAATTATTCTCAGATTTATTTCCAACGAACTAAATAACACAATATTTAACCCTTTGTATTCTAGAGGTTAAATACCTTTTTCCTACAGTCACCCGACAAAGTTGGGCTTCCTTGTACTGTTTATAGTACAGAAAGCTGCTAATTGCTGCATATTTATACTTTGTCGTACGGTTTATACTTTGGCGCACATCAGAATTCCAACGAAACAACACAAACCAGCGTGGTTCTATTATGCAAGTAATCCGTGTACGCTTGGAAATAGGTTGGCAACACTTAAATATAATACAGTAGAGTCCCGCAAACTCGGCACTCGATAACCCGGCAGTCTGGATAACTCGGCCATCACCTGGCTCAGAAAATTAGTGATTTTTTGAGTCCGAGTTAAACATGGACTCAAGCCAGCTCAAGTCAAATCATTAGCAACTCATACTAAGGATTTGTTGTACTATATCTGATGACTCAATACTAACTTGTAATATAAATATAAATAAAAAAGGCGGTTAAAAAGCTTAAAGATTTTATTGTTCTTATTTTAACCCTAATTACTGATAACCCGGCATTTCACAAACTCGGCACCCTTCCAGTCCACATTACGCCGAGTTTGCGGGACTCTACTGTAATACTATGAGCAGCTGATTGACTATTATAACTACGATTTAACCTGTCATTTCATGTTTAGAGTTTCGGTAGTTCTGAACTTTCTGGACTTTTCTTTTAAACGTTTTTAAAACATTCCTACGATCTTAATAAACAAGAAAATACCTTTAAAGCCTAAAGAAAACCACTTCAAATTACAAAAAAATACGGAATTTTGAGTTTAATGGTTTTACTAAAACCATTAGATCATGTAAACTGGCTTTCATGTGGTTTTATTGGGTGAATATGGAGTTTTTTGCCTATTTATCAAGAAAACATGCAAAAAAATTTCAAATATTTTTGGTTCTACATTTTCTTTAATGACATCAAAAGAGTTATAAAGATCCCTTTTCTTAAGTTTGCTGACAATATAAAACTTTTTTGGAAAGTTGCTTCCCTCTATGACTTTGAGTCCTTGCTGAAGGCTCTTAATAATGTCTCAGCTAAGACTTAAACAAAGAATATGGTGAATCCCACCAAAAATAAGTTGAAAACATTTAGCATTTAGCAAAATTCTCTGAATACTGAATATTTCTTATATTCTTATTGACTCTTCATAAGAGTTTGAGCCAGACATTCACCGCATCTGCGCCAAGACCTCTGGAATTCTCAAAATGATCTCTTGCTTTGCAAGACACCGTCTTAGCATATGTGTGGAAACATGCCTGCTATATCCAGTAATTCCTCTGTTCACCAACAACTAGAGTACTACTCAAATGGTACTACTGTGTATTCTGGTCGCCTTACCGCAGCCTTATTCCACTTGTTCACTATCTTCGTTTCGTCCCAATACGGGAAGAATGAGCGTACGCCTAGTTATTTATATGCTTTATAGTGACTGTAGGAAAAATTTAATGTGTAACACGAGTGCAAAGGCCTTTGCTGCACTCGAGATCATTCCGCGCTCTCGTGTGCAGCACAGTGCCACTTTGCTCACTAGTTACACAAATAACTATTTGAATCCATTGGTGGAGATTTTTGTAAACATACACACACAGTAAGGAATAGGAAAATTCAGTAAAACTACTGTTTAAATGTGCAACTCACAAAACATATGCACAACTTGTCAACTTTCACACAAGCTGTCCACTTTTGATTATAAAGTTGGGCCTTTCCTGACAAACTTTGCCACAGTCAGGTGAACGGTGAACACCTGACCAAGACGGGATCAAAACCCTTAATCTACAGTGCCATCTCTGCATCTCCTGACCAAGGAGAAACACCTTAGATCGCTCGACCATTGATTAAATCTGAAGGTCTACCACAACTACAACATCGTGCAACCAAAAGCCCCAGCGTGGTAGTTCTAAACTTGACTTTCAGTTTGCAGGGCTTGTCAAATAAAGCTTTTTGTTTTCAGGCTGTTCTAGCTAGGATGGTAAATGGAAGTTTGGTTATGCTAGTCTTGCGTATTATATGTAAGCCTATGAAGTTCTTAAGGTCAAATTAGTCTACCTAGTTCCAAAATGCAAGGATAACTGATAGAAGTGAAGTTATTAACTATTTATCAGAGTAGGTATCAAGCTGAACAATTTTGCTGTTAGTGATAAACCTTTAATCGATTTGGATGTATTTTACAGATACGCAGGAATGGATGATGATGATGAATGTATGGAGTCTAACTTTGGACAGATAGACAGGGAGGAACTTAGAAGTCTCCAGATAGGTAAGATATTTCACCTCATTAATTTTAGCCGAAAAACTTAATCATAGCCACAGTTTGGCTAGTCTCTATAAATATTAAGTTGAAAAACTTAATGAATTTAAGTTTTATTTAGGTTCAAATATGTGGTACTGCCTTGTGATTCTTCTACTTAGTGAAAGAACTATGAGTTTCGATCTTGTTGACACTTCATCATTGGGTTGAACAAAACTTGAAAATCCATCATTTAGATGTTCTTGTCGTTATTAATAAAAAACTATAAATTAATAAGGCTACATAAATGAGTGGGCACATGACGAGTCCCGAGTCTCAACTTGTTTCATCAATGAGTTTAGTGCAACCCGATAACAGCATTATTAGTGAGTGTCTACTGTAAATTTTTGACAAATTTTGAACTGACGCTTGCTGGAGAAGTTCGTACCACCATACTTTTTGTTTTTTCCCCAAGATTGTAATACTTGAACTATAAAATATTCCTTAAAATCCAACTAAATTAACCTCACACTGATGATGTTTTTGATGATCGCCAATGTTGGTTTTTAATTTAACCCTACAAAATCAGTGAAAGTTGCCTATTTTGATCCTTATCTAATTCGCTTAATTTCTAGGCGCAAAAGAAGATTATGAAGAGTTGATGAGGGATTTGGCAAGGAAAAAAAGGGCAAAACAGCGGAAACTAATGGAGAAAGGAAAGAGGTGATGCAAAAGTATTGTGGGGAACGTTTTGGGTTGTGAATTAAACACACTACCAGTTGTACAGCAACCATATTAGATGTAAAATAATACTTAGTTTTCTATCATGTAAAAAATGTTCTCTTGCTCTTTTTAGCCTTCTTACATTAGCACAATTAAGACGTATAGATTTTACAGTTAAGTTCATTTACATTTATTGGTTAATTAGGTAATTTTATGTGATATGTAATTAATTGCTATTTTAGATCTATACAGTACCCTTCTAATTTGAGCCTAACATTGAATTTTTAGTTTAAAATGCACATTAGCCTATATATTTTTAAACCATATTAATGGAAGAAACTTTAAGTGTAAAGACATGGTTGTGGCTTGGTCACTATTTTTTTATTGTTGTGTTTCCATTTCTAATTGTAATGCTTGGTCTATAAAAGTTATGTAACTCTAAGAGTTTTTCTGTTGTGTATGTATATAATTGATCTATTTAATTTTAATGTCTATTTTAACTGTTTTGTCAAAACATGTATTAATCTGTTAATATTTATTTAAATGTTTTACAATGTTGTGAAATTGAAGAATCAATATTTTTATACATTTTATTTTACTGAAGTTTAACTATGCAACCTAAGGCTATGTACACATGAAAGCATTGCATCGCACCTTTAAACTCGTCTTTAGAATTGATTTTTTAAGAGGTTGTCATCCTCTTAATGTTTTCATTTGCACGTACACATAGGCTTCAGACGTGTGCGTGGAAAGTATCCAGCAAAGCAAGTTGTGAGCTAGCACAGTTGAAGAGTGAAGTGTACTGATATTAATTAGTGGTATAAACCAGGATCCGAACCCATGACATAACTGCTTTGAGCCCAATGTCGGTGGTACTACCAACTGAGCTACCAACTCACCAAAAAAGAAAAACATCTTCATGAGTTTTGGACCGTCCTAGTAACTATAGAAATGGTTGAGGCTGTATTTGATGGGTTTTGCACTCTAGACTAAAAGATCGGACGAAAATACAAAGAAAGTAAACCAGGTAAATTAGTACACTAATCTATACTCTCGGTTATTAGTCCCCCCTTATCAAAATCTACTTAAAAATCTTAACATGGCATTTTTATTTTCCATAATCATAACGAAAAGTATAAAATTGCTTTTTTTACCATTAAAAATGATAATACAGCAAAAATTTACTGTGTAAAAAATATGAACAAAAAGTGTAAAAAAATACCGTTTAAAATTCAAACAAAAAAAGGCCTTTTGAATAGAACAGAAATTTCTTTGGTAGTGTTTCAAGAATGCACGTTGAAGCGTGCAATACACAACGCACCTTGCAGCGCTTCCATGAGTATGTAGACTTAGAATTTGATTAAGATTATTTTTATGATACCTATTGTACTGTAAAAAAAGTATAAAAAATGTAAAAATGTGAAAAATGTAAGTAAAAAAAATACAGTATATTATAAGATAGAGAATTTATGAGTTGGCTCTTATAACTTGTTTGTTAACTTGTCAATTGTTTAGATTAGTTTACCCAAACATGGATATTCGGTGGATATCCACAAACGTCATCAATAATCGATGTTTTTTCTTCATTTTGAGTTTTTCTCCAGCTTTCTGCCTCGACTAATTAATTAACCTAGCTACTGGCAAGACATTCCAGATTGGAAGATTTTTTCATGTTTGCATGACAAAATATTTCAATTAATTAGGCTGGAACTGGACTGCTGCCTCTGAAATTTATTAAGAATGAATTGATTTTTTTGCAGTATTTATAACAGGGACCTCAACAATGTAGACAGTTATCTCACTCTCACTCTACTCTTGTCTAAGTCTAGTCCAGTTTGGGATATTTTTTGGATTCATTAATTTCTCAATAGAAAAAGTACAAAAATTCTATTTCTTGTTCATACCAATATTAAAATTTTTGTCTAAGTCTAGTCCAGTTTGCAATATTTTTTGGATTCATTAATTTCTCAATAGAAAAAGTACAAAAATTATATTTCTTGTTCATACCAATATTAAAATTTTCATTAAAACTAATACAATTCAGTCAATGAAAAACATTGATATTACGATAGTTGGCCAAAAACATTGAACATTGATGATTCAAAAACATCGGCTATTGATTTCATTCCTACTTTTATGTTTTAGACTTGTCAAGTCTTTTTAAGTGTACCGTACTTGTTTTTTATTTTGTTACTGAATACAAAGATTGTGAGCTTTTACTTACCATGTAATGTGTATTTCAAAATGAGCATGTCATCTTTATATATATGTGATATATATATATAAACACACTTTTTGTGGATTTTAGGAAATAATTTTGGAATATTTTGTGAGCCATATTTATTATTATAGGGGTTATTTATAATAGAGGTTTGTATAATTCTAGATTTTTAACCTCATATGCTAAAATGTAACATTTTTTGCAAAAGTGTTCATAATTAAGTTTTTTTTATATCCATAATCTACAATATTTAAAACATAAGAAAATTGTACAATACACTAAAAAATCAAATAAAAACAATATTACAAATCAAATAAATACACAAAACAGCAAACTCTACTGGTATGAAAGAACGTGCTTTGAGAGGAAATTACAAGAATAATTTGTTTTCCTAGAAATACACTTGTACTTTTTAGATTATCAATGTAAGATCCTATTTTACGAATTTAGTGCTTTTAAAAAACACAGTTTTTTTTTTATTATGAAAGTTTTTTCATCATTTTGCAATTACTAAAATCAAGACTAAAATTGTATGCCATTTTAGATACCCACATCTTGGAAAAATAGTGAAAATATTATTCTTTTCTTTTCTACTGTTACAAACAGTTCATACAATTCCTCAACACAAGTTAGTCTTAATTTAACTTAATTTCAAAAGTATCTTCTCTTTGTTCTTTCAGTTTAGCCCAGTGACATTAAATTCAGTTAAATAGTTTTTTACTACATTCTTTTAACTAACTACAGTCATCTCAAAATAACTAGTGGTTTACTGAATTTTATCTAAATAACTTCTTGATCAGCATTGTACGTGTTATTCAATTTACGAAAAGTAAATAAAAGAAATGTTTTAAAACATATATTTACACTTATATTGTTATTCACAAGAACCCTATTGGTTATCCTTTAGGTTGGACACCTATTAGGTCTGATGAAGATTGGAGTGTCCAATCGAAATTGATCCCACTTTCCATCTGTTATGTATATTTACCGTCTTGTGAGTAACAGTATAAGCGTAAATATATGTTTTAAGTTTTATAAGACAATTCTTTTACCTACTTGTCGTGAATTTGATCTCTTATCGCTGTTTGAGATTTGTGTTGTCTTCTGCCTTATTACATTCTTATTGGTTTCTAATGTTACTAATATTAAATTAGGTTTTTGTAAAACATGTAATTATGTAAAGAATCCAAGTAGCCGATAGATATAAATATTTGAGAGGCGTAATTATTGATATTGTTTGATTTTGTCACTGCCATATATTTTTCTTTTGCATGTAAAATACAACAAAAATAAAACAGTGGAAAGTAATTGTCTTAGCCCGTCATAAACTTCCTTAGGTATATATAGCTGAGTAGCTCACTGGTTATATTGTTCGACTAGTAATCAAAAGGTAGCTATTTCAATCCTGAGAAAAGTTTGTAGCTTTGTGATGGTTCAAAACTGGACCCAGCTGTCCTTGATCATTGTGCCATACAGGGTGTTTCCGAATTGTCTGGACATATTTTGTGGACTTGTTCTCTGGGCTAAGACAAACATAAAACACCATATAAGTATGGGTCTAAAGTGCCTAGATTTCTGTCTTTTGGTCTGTTTGTGATTTTTATAAATTATTTTATATCTTGGGCATTTTTCAAGATAGAGTTTTAAAACTTTGTATTAATGTGTAGTTTTGTAAGTAAAAAGAACTGTGAAAATTTCGTTCTAATATCTCAAGACGTTTCAATATGGTGGCTATTTAAAATCTGTAATGCAAAATTTCATGAAAACCGTAAATATTAAGAAAATTTGTTACTTTACCAAAAGGATAGAGAATTTTAATACGAATCAAATGAGACCTTGTCTGTTAAAATTGGATAAAAATAACCGAGTTACCAGTTTTTTTCTGCATTCGGTTACGCAATTTAGTAGGACCACCATACTTGAGAACATGGTAGTCCTATTAAATTGCGTGACCAAATGTAGAAAAAACTCATAACTCAGTTATTTTTCATGAAACGGCTTGAGATATTGGAACAAAATTTTCACAGTTCTTTTTAATTTTAGAACTACACATTCATACCAAATTTTTAATCTCTATCTTGAAAGATGCCCAAGATATAAAATAATTTCTAAAAATCACAAACAGACCGACAGACTATAGGCACTTTGACCCATACTTATATGGTATTTTATGTTTGTCTTAGCCCAGGGAACAAGTCCACAAAATATGTCCAGACAATTCGGAAACACCCTGTATAAAGCACAATGATCAAGGTCAGCTGGGTCCAGTTTTGAACCATCACAAAGCTACAAACTTTTCTCAGGATTGAAATAGAGACCTATGTCAGTACAGCTATGGCCACATGGGCGTTTTTTCACACGGTGAATACTAGCTTATTTTCATGCTGCTTGAATTCCAGCTGTTGTAGGCCACACGTGCGTTTTTTTCACACGGTAAAATGTAGCTTATTTTCAAACCAGGTGAAGTCTAGGAGCGGCAACCCGCACTGGATTGCTGAATTCACGTGATAATGTTGTATATCTTCCTTATCGCCGGAATACTAACCTTGTTTTTGAGTATCAAGTGGTCCTGGCAATTTTAAATCAAGATAAATATGATTTTTTTCAGAATCGCGTAAAATATTTTTGGGTCTAGCCAATTACACAGTACACGTTTTATCCTAAACATACGTCGACCTTACTGGACCACTTAATAATTTGTTACTAAAAGGAAAGAAATGTTGTTGGACAAAAGAATGTGAAGAAACATTTATGTTGAGCAATTTTTTAGTCATATTCAATGATTTGTTGAAAATCTTGTTAGAAATTTGTTTTAAATAGGTATATCATAGATAAATTTATTTTATATTTAATTTTTCTATACTAAATGTAAATAATTAAATGAAAGGTTAACGAAATACAATAATTTTTGTTCATCATTCATGTTTCTTGTTCACTAGTCAAAAACAAGGTTAGTATTCCGGCGATAAGGAAGATATACAACATTATCACGTGAATTCAGCAATCCAGTGCGGGTTGCCGCTCCTAGACTTCACCTGGTTTGAAAATAAGATACATTTTACCGTGTGAAAAAAACGCACGTGTGAACAAGAAACATGAATGATGAACAAAAATTATTGTATTTCGTTAACCTTTCATTTAATTATTTACATTTAGTATAGAAAAATTAAATATAAAATAGATTTATCTATGATATACCTATTTAAAACAAATTTCTAACAAGATTTTCAACAAATCATTGAATATGACTAAAAAATTGCTCAACATAAATGTTTCTTCACATTCTTTGGTCCAACAAAATTTCTTTCCTTTTAGTAACAAATTATTAAGTGGTCCAGTAAGGTCGACGTATGTTTAGGATAAAACGTGTACTGTGTAATTGGCTGGACCCAAAAATATTTTACGCGATTCTGGAAAAAATCATATTTATCTTGATTTAAAATTGCCAGGACCACTTGAGCAACGCTGCGTATTGCTTCCACTCGTGTGGCCAGGGACAGAGCGTGAAAACGTTCTTCAAAAATGTTCCCCAGTCCATTCTTCTGCGTACCCGCGGCGGGCGATTTTGAAGACGCATCTGCGTGAAAACACACTCCGTGTGGCATACCTCATTACATTTAATCCTGCTCATATTTTTTACATTTTTTCACGCTGCATTCTTGCGTGAAAAAACGCCCGTGTGGCCGTAGCCTAACAAAGCCACAATGAAAAAAAACTTCAACCATCCAAATTTTCATTATTTTTCCAAACAGCCATGGGTTGATTTTGATTGTGGTAGCACAAAGGAGAATTTATCAGAAAATTTAATCCTTCCTTTGGCTTCTCTGTCTATATTTTGCATTGTCATAAAATTTATAAATTTAGTTTTTTGTAAATTCATCATCAAGTTGTCAAGGTTGTTAAGATAATTCCCTAAACTTTCCAATTCTATATAAACGAACATTTCTGTTTGCTCAATTGAGTTGGATGATATGACCAAATTCGAGTCATCAGCATACAGACATAGTGTTGAATTTTGATTATATATTAAAGAATATGTGCTTAATATATTTTTTCACTTCCAAAGTAAAATGCATAGCAGAACTGGCAAATATTATTCATCTCACCAAGTGAATGTGTATCTAGATGGGTATCTGTTAGATCAGACCTCTCTTTTTCTTCTCTCCTCATACACATAAGATATCTTATTATTAATAATTGTCTCCTCCCGTTTTCAATATTTCTTCTTTGAACTTGAGGCATTTTCCGTTCTTCCAACAAAACTGATTAACTGTTTAATTTGGTCTTAACCTACTGAATATTAAAACATCAATATTTACTCCCAAAAAGCTAAAAGGTTTCTTTTTATAAACAGCTGGTTTTTGTTTTTAAATTTGTTCTATGTATTTCTTATGGGGAAAACCCGACCTTTGAGAGGGTCTCGCGCCCTTAAGAGTAGACATTTTAAAGTTCTAAAACCTTATTGCAAAACTACATATTGAGACGAATCTTTTGACACCTTAAACGTTAAAATTGGTCCACAAATAAGGGAGGAGTTGCGTTAACAAAATACGGCTTCACGTATTATATATATAGATATAGATTTCATTCCACATAGATAGCACAAAAAAAGTAGGAGCCCTAATATTGAGCCTTGCGGAACTCCAAAATCTATTGGCTTATATCTTAGATAAAACATACTCCCTTAGTATATTTCCTTATGGAACATCTGAAGCCAATTTTACTGATAGTTCTGTCCGGTGTACTGTAGAGTCGTGTTTTGTTTTCAATTCGTGGCTGCACTTTACTTTAGGTCCTACACTCATTTGAATGAAAATATTGATTATTCGATTGTTTCTTTCTAGTAGTAAAGTAAAGTGCAGCCCATTCGTTTCTTGCTATTTCAGTAATCTAAAACCTCATTTAGCAAAATAAAACTATCTAATCATAAACAATAACTTGTCCACTAGCTATATAACTAAACAGTGAGGCACGATCATGAGAAACTAACTCTAAAAT